TCTTCAAGATGACTCCTGATAGGTCCTCATCATTGTTTAAGCACTTCCTTACATTTTGCCTCATCTTGTGCTTTCCTTCTCCTAAACTTGGACTTGGCCATTTTTCCTTTTGGTGAAGAGTAGTATGTAGAAACCAAAATCTGACTGCTAGGTGCGCTCCTTGCTGTTAAAATGTCATCATTTCTGGGTCCTCTCAGCTGACGGATCTAGGAAAATATATGTAGGCATATGTCCCTCCCCACCTTTATCTACTTTCATATCTCTATATACTAAGGAACCATGAGTTCACATCAGTATCTCCCATCCCAATACAACACCGTAGTGTTTATTTTAGAACTCCGTTTTCTGACAGTGAGAAACCTGGTTCTCATTGTCCTCAATATATTTAATTATTTGTCATTTTGTTGTTGTAACCAATCTCCTGACCATTCTGGCTGAATTAGTAGCTCTGACCTTGCCTAACACTCTGGTTGCATTGGCCAGATTTTGAGCCCTGACTAATGGGAAGGGGCTAATTAGTTTATGTTCTTTTGATTAGTATCATTCCTTTTTCTATAGAGTACCGTTACCTTGGTTGACATCTTCTGGGAGCAAAGATCCTTATGGGACAGAAGTGGATCAGGGTACTTAGAGCCTCTTCAGTGCTGCACTGAGGTTTGAGATTTGGAGGCCAGGGTCAGGGGTGAAACAAAGTGACAGGAGTTTGAACCTAGCTGACAGGTGGGTTGTAATCCTAGATTTCACATGTTTATAGTCCTTGAGATCACAGATACTTTTTAAAAAATAGTATTTATCGAGCAGTTTTGTGTGAAACACCATCCAAACACCTTTTACATATGTTATTTCTAAGCGTCATAAAAGCTTTGTGATGTTTTTTCACCTACAAAATGAGAATAATAATTGTACTGCCTCATAAAGCTTTTGTGGTGATTAAATGATTAAATCCACTTAAAACTAGCAGTTAATAAGGGAGGAATAAATGTTAGCTGATTAGTAATAGTGGTGTGGTTGTTTCATCTCTATTTTACGAATGTGGGGATAAGATCAGAAAGGTTAATTACCCAGCTATACAGCTTAAGAAATGTGTAAGTCCAGAATCAGACCAGTAAACTCTGGTCTATTTTTTTTTTTTCCTTTTTGACCAGATGTAGGCCCCCCAACCCCTTTTCCTTTCTTGTGCTCATTCCTTTTCACTACATTGTTTCTTGACTTGGGGCTTTTAAACTAAGAAGAAAATATCAGAAATATAATCCAGAAGATCACTTTTAGCTAAATTTAGCTGATCTCTTAGACTTGCCCAGATAACCTTTGGGTAAAGGTTGTAGAATGGAGGGAGGGGGTGGCCTCTAGGACTGTAGTAGATGTAGCATGCGTGGGCAGGCGATCCAGGGATTGTCACAGGAGAGGAGGAAAGCCCCCAAGAACCAAGACAGTTGAGCACCTACAGGCTGTGTCAGCAGCTGGAGGAGAGGGGCCATAGGCAACCCTCCACAGAAACGTGAGGACATGCTGGGGAAGTTTCGCCTGTTCCACATATCACAAATGTCACATATGTCCTGCTCCAGGCTTCCCTAGTAGTATGATTATGTCACATATGCCCAGACCCTGGGATTTCTGTAAATTCTCATCTTTTCAGATCCTCCGTGCCTTCAAGATCTTGCATCTTTACCTAGTTTCTCTGCATTATGCTACTTGACCATTTGTGAAACTTAAAATTCTTCTAATTTTCTCAGAGAATCCACACAAAAAGGTGATGACTAGTGTGGATATTATTAAAGATTTCTTGGAGGAAGTAATTTAGATTTGAAGAGGAGTTTTCATCTTACACTTGAGGGGTGACTGACTTTACCTCTAAAAACCCTTCTGGCTCCCTGCTACTAGGCACTTTATCTCTGGCCCTTCCCAGGAAAGACTAAGCTTCCCTGACACTGCCCTTCCCTTGGAGGATTTCCTACACCCCTTCCTCTCCCAGCAGAGCATTTTAGTTTTTCCTGCTTCAAAGTTAAATACATAAACCCATCAAGGTGCTCAGAACAATAGATGCCCTCTTGTTACTACGATCCTTCTTCCTTAGAGAGCAGTCAAGGTTACATTTAGCACAAAGTGTTTAGTCTTATCTGTTAAACAGGGCTTGCTGTCTCAGATTCCCACAGGGTTAGGCATGATTGGTTAGTATGTGGAATTGAAGAGAGGTTCGCCTTTCTACTGGGGTTAGCCCTATTCAGCTTCAGCTTATGGTTTTAATGTGTGCATGCAGACTTAGTGATGTCAGGTCTGATTTTTCAAGAAAAAGTTTTTGTGTGAATTTATTTTTTACAATGTTGTGAATGAATTCAAGTTTAAAACTGGAATCAGCTCCCTTGGGCCAGTGCTTTTGAAATAGCCAGTGGAAAGCTTTCTATAGCACAGCAGACAGAACTTTTAAGGAGCAGATGTATTTGTTAGGGAGGAGGGCCTGCCTTTTGCATGTATCTCTTTCTCCAGATCTATTCCTACCTTGGGGTTGGGAATTATTGGGACTCAGGGACTTGGACGAGTCTCTTTAGTGACCCAGATCGAGACCATCAGCACTGCCACCCCTTACCTGCACTCTGCTTGTTACAACTTTTGTACCCCTGCACTACACATAAGAGTAAATGAATGGTGTGTTTCCTCTTGATGGATGGTTTGTGTTTTGAAAATTGAATTTAGCTTTAGGGAAGCAAATATAAACTTTATTCAGAATTTAGATAACCAAAGCATTCAATCATCCAGATTTTGTTTCCTTTGTATTCTGTAGTCATAGTTTTTACTCCACATTTGAAATACGTAGATCAAGATATTAACTATAGCTTTAGAATTGGGTGTTTCAATTTTTAGAAAATCTGTTGATTGACATATATATGAATTATGTTCATTGAAACCTCACATTTAACAGTCATTTCTTACATTGCAATCTACTAGTTTATAGAGTTTTCACCTTTTTTTTTCTTCTTTAACACTTGTTACTGTAAATCTTTATGGCCTCATCAAAAGTAGTTTTGGCAGCAACATCTAAATGAGATTGTGGTGGGGAAGATAATGCCACTTTTTTGGTGGCATAGGTAGAGGATCTAGGAGCAGAGCAAGGCTGGGAAGAGGAACAGGGCAGTACCTGACTTAGAATCAGAAATCAGGAGACAAGGAGCTGGGGCTTGAGCTTATTGCTTATTAACTTTGGGATCATGGATAAGTTTTTTATTAGAGCTTTCTGATAGTGAAAATAATAATATTTACCTTGTTTATGGCATAGGGTTGCTGTGAGAATCATTGAAACTTGGGTGGGGGAGGTACTTTGTATATATGAGGTGACTTGTATATATAATTACTGATTATATAAATGAATACTATTGGGAATGACTATTATTAGAATTTGCTTATATTAGACAATAGGCCACCAGAGTAGTTGTCTCACAGATAGTTATTCTAAGAGTAGACCTTGACAGTTACCATGGAGAAACATCTATGGCAAATATGATTAAATAAAATTGATTTAAAAGAAAGGTGCTGTTTTTCTATTTCTCAGATGATGCTTAAATGTTTGCTCTTAAATGCAGGTATCAACTCAATTGTGGCCATTGCATCATACACTGGATATAATCAAGAAGACTCTGTTATCATGAATCGTTCAGCTGTAGACCGAGGCTTTTTCAGGTCAGCTATTTATAAAAGTTGTCAAAACACAGATATAGTGGAAATATGAATATTTTAATCAAAAAAAATTGTTTAAAAATAGTTTGACTTGTGTGTGTCCAGACTTTTTGGTTGTTTTGAATGTTAGTCTGGAAGAAATTTTGATCTGACAGTAGAGAAATTTTTCTTTTAAGATATTTAATCTTCTGCCTCCATTCATGAAACTTTATGGATATCTGGCAGGCATATGTTGCTGTATGGTTGCCTGTATAGGGTTTAGTGTGATGAAATCAGTGCCCTACTCCAGCAAGTAGAAGGCCTAGTTGATGGCCACAAACAACTGCTATTGATCTCGTGATTTTCAGGTACTAATGTTTTTAGCCCCCCTTTTTGTAAGTAAATACATGTTTGTACTATATATAAAATAGATAAACAAGTTTCTACTGTATGGCACAGGGAACAATATTCAATATCTTGTAGTAAGCTATAATGAAAAAATATGAAAAGGAATACATGTATGTGTATGGATGATTGAAACATGCTATACACCAGAAATAGACACAACATCTTAAACTGACTATACATCAGTTAAAAAAAAATACATGTTTGCATTTCAATAATATAGAAATGTCTAAAGAAGAAATAAAAAATAAACCTATAGTTTTAGGGCCTATAAATAACTACTGTTAAAATTATAATATACTTTCTTTTTCAATCTTTTGTTAGGCTTCAGTTTGATTATTTTCTGTCAGACATTAATCTCAAATCCAAGGCATATGAAAATTGGTTAAAAAACTGGGAATTTAGAAGAGAGGGTGGCTTTTTTTTCCCCCTGTATAGTTTCAGAGGATAGCACTAAGACCAGAGGTTCATGTTATACCTTAATATTATAAGCTTATCATTAGAAATATTGGAGCGGATCCTGGGTGATTATGTCTGAAGGTTATTGTGGAAGGGATTCTTGTTTTGGGTAGGAGGTTGGACTCTCACATATAATTCCAGCTGTGTTTAAGGTTATGGGTCAAATATTACATGTGTGGCCTGTGTAATAGTTCTTAGGACTCAACTTTGACCCTTAATTCAGTTAACTCTTGTCCTAGATTCATAGTTTAAACTGCCTACCGGATACTAAGTAAAAATTATTGGTATGTTCTAAGCCCTATTATTAAGGAAAAATAGAAGTTAATTTTAGAACCATGTGTTTTTAGGTCTGTTTTCTATCGATCATACAAAGAACAGGAGTCTAAAAAAGGATTTGATCAAGAAGAGGTTTTTGAGAAGCCTACACGTGAAACTTGCCAGGGTAAGTGATACTGACATTTAAATTATGGAAATCAAAGTTAACTTACCATGGTTTTCTTTTTTTGCCATGTGAGAGTTTATTTCCTTATCATTCCTAGACCTCATTTTTAAGGAAATAATGTGTTTGCCAAGTCTTTGCATCCAGGAGTGGCTTGCTATAGTCCTTTCATACTGCTAGGTCCTGCATTGAGGAGGGGATTTAGGAAATCGGAGAGGTCATGTAATTTCATGGGACACACCTCAGCCCCCATTCTCGCTTGTACTGTGTCCTGTCCCTCAGTTTATGTATTTGCATAGGAACTTCCCCCTCTTCACACTGTGGTGTGACCATAGTATTTGTCTAGCTGGAATATTTTATAAATGTTTAATAAATAAGAGGATACCTAGTACTTTTTGTTTCTTCTGGAAAACTCAAACTTATTTTCTAGTTACTATTTTTACAGACACTTAGAATCTGTATACAGTGGGATGGATGGGATGTCCCAGGAAATGGGGTATCCTTGCTACATTTTTAACCCTTAATAGTATTTTATGCAGTAAAATGTGTTTTGTTTTCTTAGGCATCTTCTTATTACTCCATTTCCTATGGGTGGTTCTATTAGTAGTGAATTGATGTCCAGTGGAGTTAAGATTATATAAAAAGAAATCCAGAATTTCTGTGAGAGATTGTATGTAGAGGACAGATACTCTTCCTCATGTAATTGAGAGATCAGAAAGAAGATGGCAACACACTTACCCAAAGTCACTTAGCAAATGGAGAATATGATTTTCCAGTGCTCAGTCCAGTGCTTTTTTAGACTTCAGAATAGTTTGTAATTTGGAATAAGGGCACATTACTACACGTTGGAGATTCTTGTGAACTTCTGTCTGACTTGGAACTGATTTATGTATTTGGTTTTTAATCTATTTTGGGGGGATTATGTGACATTTAAAATAACTTTTTCTTTATCGTAGTACCATTTCAGAAAATTCTATTTCTTCTCAGGTATGAGGCATGCCATTTATGACAAACTGGATGATGATGGTTTGATAGCTCCTGGAGTTCGTGTATCAGGAGATGATGTTATTATAGGCAAAACAGTCACTTTGCCTGAAAATGAAGATGAATTGGAGGGCACTAACAGACGCTACACTAAGAGAGACTGTAGCACTTTTCTCAGGACTAGTGAGACGGGCATTGTGGATCAGGTTATGGTAACTCTCAACCAAGAAGGATATAAATTTTGTAAAATAAGGGTGAGTATAGCTTTGTCATATTGCTGTTTATAGAAGGCAAACCAGATCAACTTAATTAACCTAATTTTGTATGAATCCAGGTACGCTCTGTTAGAATTCCACAGATTGGAGACAAATTTGCTAGTCGACATGGTCAGAAGGGTACCTGTGGTATTCAGTATAGACAAGAGGTAGGTATCTTTTATCTTTTGTCTTTTATCACCCCTAACCCAAAGTTTTGTTGAACGTTTTATTAAATCAAAATGTGCTTTAACCAAGAGCCCAAAGGTAGTGAAGGCTTGACCTTTAATTTTAGTGTTGACTAAGTATATGAACATAATATGTTGAACAGAATTTAGGAGATGGAAGAGTTCAGATTAGGAGGAGTGGGTTCTAGTTCTGTAGTTAAGAGATTTAACTTTTTTTTTTTAAGTCTTTTAAAAAATTCCTTTATAGGACATGCCTTTCACCTGTGAAGGTATCACCCCCGATATCATCATAAACCCCCATGCCATCCCCTCTCGTATGACTATTGGTCACTTGATTGAATGTCTTCAAGGGAAGGTAAGAGTTTTTCTTTAAAAAGATAGGTTCCAAATTCATATTTATTCCAAAATTTTAGGTGATTTCTTTCATATTTGAGCCAGGGTACTTTGGAAAAAGCCAGTATGATACTTTCTTGCTTTTAAATTATTAGTGTTTTTGTTTTTGTTTTGCAAAAATATGCAAAGTTCTGACTAAGTCAGAATTTCTGTAAAATTTACTATATCCAATCTTTATTATTTTGACTGATTGTTTTCTATAAATGAAGAGTTAATAATTCTTTGGTGGTTAGTTCAGCGTGAACCTAATCATTTTATTTACACTGTTAGCTATGTGTGTATCTTTCAGTGGAGATTTTCTATTTTTAAGTATCTTGTTAAGGTAGAATGACTACAGCTATATGGACAGCTTGGTTTTAGGGCATTAAAATGTCATTTTCCTTGAGTCATTGGAAGTCTCATTCTTTTTGTATCTGGCCTCACAGAGAGCTTTTTAGTTGAAGGCTTATGATTGAGTTGTTTTTATTTTTTTAGGTAAAGAAGTTTGTTATAAACATTTTATGTAAGATGCTAATAGAATGAACCTTATGATATTACAACTTTCTATAACATATATTTAATTCTTAAGTTCAGAATGTCCCCTTTCCTAGAAAGGACTTTTTAAAAACTGAATTTTTATTGACACAGATTTCTAAAGGGAGACAGAAGGAAGTATTTTTATTTTATTTTATTTTATTTTAATTTAATTTAATTTAATTTTAATTTATTTTTAGGGGGGAGGTAATTAGGTTTATTTATTTATTTATTTTCACAAAGGCACTAGGGATTGAACCCAGGACCTCGTGCATGCTAAGCACGCACTCTACCACTGAGCTGTACCCTCCCCCAGGAAGAAGCATCTTAAAGACTACTTTTTTTTTAAGGTATCAGCTAACAAGGGTGAAATTGGTGATGCCACTCCATTTAATGATGCTGTTAATGTGCAGAAGATTTCTAATCTTTTATCTGATTATGGCTACCATCTCAGAGGAAATGAGGTATGTGTACTTTTAAATTAGTAATTTATGTGTATTCTTTTTTGTATGTGTGTGATTCCATTCTTAAAAATTAAACCTTTCACTGACGTATGATGCATACTTGAAATATTTGCATAAACCATAAACTTACTGCTTGGTGAATTTTCACAAGTGAACACAACTGTCTGACTGGCACCCAGATATTGAAAAGAAAATTACCAGAACCCTTTTATGCCTGGATGCCCCCTCTGTGTCCCTTTCCAGTCACTACCTTCCTACTCCTACCAGAAGGTAACTGCTGTCTTTACTTCTGATGTATAGGTTAGTTTTGTCTGTTTTGATTTTTATATATACAGAATTGTACAATATATGCAAATACATTCTTTGAACTTGTTTAATATTTTAAAAATCTGCTTCAAAATCCTCCTGTTTCAGGTCCTATACAATGGATTTACTGGTCGAAAAATCACATCACAAATTTTTATTGGCCCCACTTACTACCAGCGTTTGAAGCATATGGTGGATGATAAGATTCATTCTCGTGCTCGGGGACCTATTCAGATCCTTAACAGACAGCCCATGGAGGGTAGATCTCGGTAAGAGAGCTGCATCATCATTGTTGTATACAAGGATGGTTCTCATACTTCAAGATTCCAGGGCCCCAAAGAGCTTTTTGTCTATGTGAATTGTACTTTTTGATATTTATCCTGTTAGAAATTAAAACTGAGGAAGACTTAAAATACTTATTTAAAAAATAACAGTAAGCCCATTATATATTAACATAATAACATTCTTTTTAAACACCTTTATTGTGATATGATTCTTGTACATAAATAACATTCTAAAGGAAAAATATTTTCCAAATAAATTTAGTGATGAGTGACGGTTTACCTTTTTGCAAGTATTTTTAATGAGCTAGTTTGTGAGAAGAAAGTGGATTCTTGGGTCTGTTTCTGCATTCATCCCATTGCAGTATTTTATTATTTTATTTAAGCATATGAGAAAAACTGGACCTCACAGAGATATGTGGTTGGAAAGGGAAGCATATTTTAATAATTTTCAGGTGATTGTGGATTTTTTTTGATGCTACACCAAAAGTTTTATTTTTTTAAAGGTTAGTTGTGATGTAGACTCTGAAACTACTTAAGTGAATCTTTTTTATTAAAATCCATTGGCCTGTCTTATACTTTTAATATATTATCTTTTATTTTTTAGTATCATAATTGGTCATTTGGAAAATACTGGTTCATTCAATTATGCAAATTTTCAAATGTTGACATATTTCATTATACCAAAAAAAGTCACATTTGTGAATATCACTGCCGTGTCATCAGAAAAGTCTTTTAAATATTGGGAAGCTTTCAAGCCTATAGCATCAGATAGAGGTCTTCTAAAATTCTGACTTTTGATTGAAAATTCAAATTTTTAATCATTTTCAACAGATACTTAAAATTGTTTTCGTTAAAGTGAAAAGCTCACCTTGTTCATTTTCAAAAAAAGTCTGCCAGGTATCTAAGTATAAATTAACATAGTGCTAATGTTGGTAGGTTAACATAATTGGTGTCAGTTCTTTTTTCAGGTGAAAAAGATATTCCACAATAAAAGTGACTAGTTCAGAATTGTGCAAGTGCTTTTCTTCAAGATCACAATCTTCACTATAGAACAGAAATCCTTTAACTTCCCATTTTATCATAGAATATTTAAAAAGATGTATACTCAAGGGTCAGTTAATTAAAACTAATCATTTTTACTGCTTCATTAATGGCATTCTTAAGTAAAACTGGCTTTCTCCCCTTTCACTCACGGTGGAGAATATGACTACTAGTAAAGTTTAGTTCTACCACCTCCATGTATTCAGGTGCCAGCAGTTTTATTCAGTTACTTTTGTAACCATCAGTGCAGATGTCAACACAGTGGAAGAAGCAAATATGTTGTTAGTATTATTATAAGAATAGTTTTCATCCTCATGGAGTCCACAGACTACAATTTGAGAACCCATGCTTTAAAAAATAGGATAAAAATTAATCACAGTACCTCCTTAATATTATTAAATATCCAGTGTTCAAATTTCCCTGACAATTACATAATTTTTTAGTTTGTTGGTTTTAATCAGGATACAAATAAGGTCCATGCTTTATAATTGATTGATACATCTCAAGTTTTTTTTGTTTTTGTTGTTTTTTTTTTTTAATCTATAAATTGCCTTCGAACTTTTTTCCCCTGCAGATTATTTGTTGACTAAACTGGATTGTTGGTCCTGGAGGATTTCTTAGTCTGGATTTTGTTGACTGCATTCCTGGGATGTGTGTTTCTGTTTTTCCTGTAAATAGCTAGAGCCTTGATGAGAGGAAGGGTTTGTGTTCTTTCACAGCAATACTTCAAAGGCAGTGTTGTATACTTTCAGATCTAGTTGTCTCTCTTATGACTTTTAGCAGCTATTAATGATTGTTACCTAAAACCCTTAATTAAATAGGAATTGCAAACTGATGAGATTCTAATTTTATCATTCCTTCTTCATGTATTAGTTGGAATATTTTCAGAGAAACTTTTTTTTTTCCTCTACTGGTTACCTGGTGACATAGTTCATATAGTAAAAGACAAGATAAATGCTTCTTTCCTTTTATTTACCAGTTTTCAAAATGTTGTGTTGGTTGTGTAGTATCCTCCAAAGTTGACCAGTGATTTGTTTTTGGTAATATTAGGAAAAGCTCAGTTATCTTACGTAGTCTGTATATATTAAGAATGTTAAGGAAGCCATCACCATCCATCTGAACAATGCATTTCATTTCACTTTCATGCTGGGAAAACCTGTTCTTTCCATTACATTTGCCAACATGCATTTCATTTCAGGCTTGATTGCCTGGGAGACTCATTCATGGAAAAGCTGCTTTATTTAGATTGAATTCTAGTAAGTTAAATGATAGTTTGAAGAGACTCTACTCTCTATTGTGTTTTATGAGGAAAACTATATATGCTGTACTTGAGATTCTAATGTGTTTACTTACTCAGAGGACTTTTTTTTTTTTTTTTCCAGAGAGGGAGGTAATTAGGTTTATTTCTTTATTTTTAGAGTAGGTACTGGGGATTGAACCCAGGACTTCATGCACACTAAAGCATGCTCTCTACCACTTGAGCTGTGCCCTCCCTCCTGGGGACCTTCTAATGCACATCAAATAGTTGGCAGACTTCTCAACCTTCCCACCATGTAGAGAGAATGCAAGGGTATATAAGTTAGAATCTAGTGCTTTTTTTTTTTTTTAACGAATATCATTTGTTATTTTTGCCATTAGTCAAAGTGGTGTTGGCAATAGAAAATAAGTACAAAATAGTCTGTTGTTTTTCCCTTAACAGTGATGGTGGCCTGCGTTTTGGAGAAATGGAACGAGATTGTCAGATTGCCCACGGAGCAGCCCAGTTTTTAAGGGAAAGATTGTTTGAGGCATCCGATCCATATCAGGTTCATGTTTGCAATCTTTGTGGAATAATGGCGATCGCTAACACCAGGACGCATACATATGAATGCAGGGGCTGCCGGAATAAAACCCAGGTATGTATAGGCCTTACCGACAGTTGATATTTGTTCAAGATATAACCACGCTGGTCTAATCATCTAGGCAGGTTTAGTATAGTGGAACAAACTGCCATTTTCACAATTTTCATAGCATGCTTCTATAAGATTCCTAGTTTTAAATGAGGTAAAAGATAACTTGATTTTTCTAAAAACCACTTTAAATTTTATTGTAGTAATTTCTCTAAGCTGTTCATCTTTTGGAAGTAATAAGGCTTTGTACAAGGAATTTTAACAGTTAGTTTTTTTTTTTCTAAACCTTTTAATTTAGAAGGGTGAATATAAATTGTCTGGCAGAAAAGGGTGAAATACCAAAGCCTGTTAGTAGAAAGAACCACTAAAGGCCAAGGTAGCAGGATGAGTGTTACCAGCCCACTGACTTATTCATGTCCAGTACCAAGTCTTTAGCTTTTCCTGGGGTAGGAAGCGGGCTCACTTCATTACAGCTTTGCTAATTACCATTTACTTTTTTTTCCCTCCCCCAGATCTCTTTGGTGCGAATGCCTTATGCGTGCAAACTGTTGTTTCAGGAACTCATGTCTATGAGTATTGCACCTCGAATGATGAGTGTTTAACTCTTCTAAAAATCTTTGGGTCTTTTGTGTTTTATTTCTATGATATGGCTTTTAAAAAGGATTTAAAAATAACAAAAATGTACTGCCTTGTGAGAAAAGCAGTTTATTTGTTTTGTTTAATGATAAGCATGCTCTTCTTCTTTTGTAAATAGGCAATAAATTTTTGTAGATAGTCTTGATGTGTTACCTTTACTTTCTATTTCACTGTGTAAAACCAGTGAATATAACTAAAGTACTAGTGGACTGGATGAAAAGAAACTGGTTACTAGGCAAGAACAGGGGTTGGAGTGATCCGTGACTACTTCAGCTATGCAAGCTAATATATTCCGCAGGCTTACAGCTCAGCACCTTCACCTGTTTATTTAAAAAAAAAAAAGATAATTAGTTACATATATGGACATGGTTGACTTTTAAAATTTGATGTAGTTTAGCATTTTCAAGTAAATGATGATGTTAAAATGTGGAGATAAAGGATGTGTGAGTAACTGTACACATGATCTGGTGCAGTGCTTGGTCTTTGAGCTGTACGGTGTTAGACGTGGAGGTGATTTTGTTGTACTGGTCTGCGTGTAAGAGATGGACCTTACTACAGAACTGGGAGAAGCACGTTTCACAAACGAGCAAGGTGAGATCCAGGAAGGCTAAGGAACTTCCCTTACTCATTCCAAATTTAAAGTGGAATAATTAGTGGCAGAGCTTAGACTCAGACAACTCTTAGCTACTGCTCTGTTTGTTTCATCACTTGGCTTTACACATCTGGGCTGAAAAGAACCTGACCAAACACATCTTTACTTGACATTTCTTCCTTTCATACCACAGCTGTGATCCACACAGTGGAAATGGTTTTGACAAATGCTGGCAATAAATTTTGTTCTTATTTTTGGCTTAAGGGAAAACCAATTCAGACATCAGTCTAGTAGAACTATATAAATGTAAAGTAGCATTACTCTGACACCACCGGGATGGGTGCTTAAGAGGAAGCTTTTGACAGTGAAGTGGATAGAGGCAGAACAGACTTGGGTACTTGCCAATATTCTCTTTCTGGCTTTTTTCTATTAAAAGCTCAAAGTGAAGGACCAGAATTGCCTACAATCATTTCTTTTTTAAATGGAAATTTAAGGGTCACAACACCAAGGAAAATGCTGTGAAGATAGAAGGTTACGGGAAATATAAACCATTCCAATTGGTTTGAGTTTTGACTCATACGTGTAAGATAGAGTGAAAGCGTCGAAGTCATAATAATAGCATTCCATCAACCAGCGAATGTTTTTTTGGAGTCGTGCACTCTACATTTTGATTACATACTTAATGTCCTTCCCTTGTGGATCCCTAACATAGAATTTCATTAAGAGCAATGTCTGATACTTTCATACTTGGTTCTGTCCCTTATTAAACAAAGCACTAGTCATTTTTAAATGGTTGTGGGATTTATTACCTACCTTTTTTCACTGGTATTTCATGTAAGGCATCAACCACTGTAATTTTTGCTGATGCTGAAGCCTGTCCTTGGCTATTGGATGCATGGCACTCATATTCTCCAGCATCTTCCTTACTAAGAGGAGATACCTGTAGGGGAAAAAAAAGGATCTTTTTTCTCTATGGCCATCATCTTTTTCCAGTGGCTTCAGTTAGGTCATTATTTTATAAGTTGCCTAAGATGACCAGGGGACTTATGGCAAAGATACTGCTAGAAATAGTGTAAATCCTGTGCTAGGAGTACTTGGTCTGCCAGGAAGATTCCTACTATGAGGAAAAGTCATGGCCAACTTTAGATCACACTGGATAGGTTAAAAACTGGACAGGTGCACATGTCAGTTTGAGGGAGACCTTGGGGATAAGGGTGTACGATCTAAGTACTATCCATGCAGGTCCATGACTATCAAAGGTCAGGTAAAATAAAGTAACTATTAATAATTGATTAAAATGTTTGGGTTATTTAGTTCCCTGTGAGGATTTTGCTTTGAACTCATAGGTTTAAAAAAAAAAAAACGGTTCTTTTTTATTTTTTGGTTGTTTCCAAAACATCCAGTAGACTCCAGCTTTTTTTGTCTGTCTGTTTTTTTTAAGTTTCCTCTGAAAGAGGAACAGGTAGGACTAGTCCAAAGAACTGTGGAAGGGCAAATTCTTTCAGCCTTGGCAGTACATCAGGCACCTTGTTGCCAAGTTTGCTGTGTCTAATCCTAAGAGTGAAATCCTTGGCAGCTCTTAGTACTCACCAGCACCCAGCCAGTTACTTCATGCTTTTCTGGGCCACCCCGGGTCTGAATGGCCAGGTTGTCTCGGTCACCAGGCAGGAGTTCTGTCCTTTGAACTCCATAGTGACCCCTTTTTACCTGCAAAAAAAAAAGGAGGGCGGATAGTGTGAGTTCTCTGCACTGAACCATCAACTTGGAAGTGGCTAACATTCCTAGAATTGCACAGGGCATACATCAGACTTTCTAACTGGATTAAACCTAACCATTTCCATGTTACCCTTTCCTGAATATGTATGTAAAATATAAATTCTCTTTTACTTATTCCTATCAGTTTCCCTCTAGGTTTATGTATTTTAAATTAATACATTTTTCTGCATGCTTGGGAAATACAAATTGTCATAATTTCCTGCCACTGGCTACCATCCTTCACACAAGCCCTTGTAAATTCTGCTTCTCAAGGCTGGCACTTGGTTGCCATATGCCATGTTTGACGAACTATCACCTAGTGCTAGGTCTGATACTTGGGACCTTGGGTAAGAGCCCAACTCCTGGAGCTCTTCCTACAACAGTCTCATCAATGGGAAATAACAGGATGAGTCCACAGCCAATACCATTACTTTGTCCTGATGGCTAAGAGTTCATCAAATGATTTAGTAAAGACCTGAGAGCAAAAATGCCTTTCAAATACATGCTGCTGTCATTGTTATGACAAAATTTGCTGCCTATCCCTGTGTGTGTCATGAAGGGATTCAGAAAGATGGAGTAAGAAGAAATTCAGTTTCCTTGGGTTGAGGCCAGTAGTGAATACTGTCCTAATTTCTCTCATTTAAAAAGGCAAACTATATGGGGGAGGGTATAGCTCAGTGGTACAGCCTGTGCTTATTAGCATGCACGAGGTCCCGAGTTCAATCTCCAGTACCTCCATTAGAAAAGTAAATAAACCTAATTACCTCCTCCCCCCAAAAAACCAAACATAAAAAGGCAAACGATGTTCATTATGTAAACTGGAAAATACATAAAAATTCCTAGAAGAATAAATTTGCCTGTAACCCCTCCATACATAAACATTTAACATAAATTTCTAGAAGAGGAATTGCTGAGTCATAGAGTATAAATATTTTAAGGCTTGTGATGATAAGTCTGAAAAACAAAGGATAAACAAAGCAATTTTGTTTATTCCATCCCAGGCTGCCTTTTAGAGTAAGGTTGGTGTTTACTGATACTACCTTTGTAATTAGAAAAAAGAATTTACAGTCTCAAATATGGAGTTTCCTTTTCATTTTCTTTTATAATTAAGCAAATCTTGAGTTCAATCAGATCATCATACATAATTTTTTTGGATACTTTACACCAGTTTTGCTTCTCCATGTGGTCCCACTGCCACCACATGCTGTTACTAAGCTATTGTCTCAGCATCAAATCCACCCTTTATTTTCTCTGCTTCTTGACACCAGGGCTGGGACTCTGAAACCAAACCAAGTGGGATCTAGGCCTGCTCCTACTCCATAAAAAAAAAAATGTAGCATTACTGATTCAGAGTGCCTGGTTCTTGCCTGCTTGCTTTTCTCTCTCCTGGGATTTCCCCGTATTGTCACTGTTAGAGAAAACCAGGTGTCTTAGTGTTCTTCTCGTATGAGTGTTATAAAGACAAAACAGATGAACTCAATAGGCATCTTTTTCTTTCAGTTTCCCAAGTAGCTGGCAGAAAAGGTTCATGCTAGTGCAGATTTTGAAACACTTATTTAAAAATGGTTTTAAATAATGGTTTTTAAGTATTATTTTGATTCAGTGGCTAAACTAATACATCTCTACTCTTCATTTACTGAATTTCAGAATTCTTTAAGGGTTTTGACCAAAGCAGAAAAACACTACAGCTTCGAAATAGTGAATCTTAGCAACTGAGCTGTTGCTCCTCAGCACTCTCCCAGTTAACCTGACACACTGTGTACCAAGAAACCGTTCTTGCCAAGTATTTGATTGCAAGATAATTAAAGTGAGTTGTTAAATGTTAGTAACGTATTGTAAAAAGTTTCATACCATGTAGAAAACACACAGAAGTGCAAAGAATTTTTACATGGCCAATTTTTATATGGCAAACTCCTTTACTCTTTTACTTATATAAGGGGAATTTGATGTTTTCAGTTTGAGGGAAAAAAGATGCAGGGTGGGCTGAGAAAGTGGTTTCTAAGACAATTCTACAGATGCGCAATGGGCTGGAAGTGCCTCAAAGTTTGACCCTTAGAAGTCTGTAAGGCAGAAAAAGCTGCCTGGAAGTCACTGCTCACCACAATTTCAACTAGAGTAAGACTCAGAGGGAGGCCCAGAAGTCATCTCAGCCCTCTGGTTGTGTTTTAGCTGCAAAAAGATTTTCCTGAATCCTGCTATTGCAAATAAGCAGTAACTAAGAAAAAGGTGCCAGTAATTACAGAAGCAGGATGGATCAGTCTGATTCCCACAGGTTAAGAAATCTCAAGCATTCACAGAATTGCAGGAAATCCTTCAAAGGATATTTATGCAGATCAGACTATTTGCTGTGTCTTTTTGGTGAAGTTTCAGAAGAATTTTATGATGAAACAGAATATATGTCTGTTAAAAGTTTCAGCTCCTCAGACACTGAACAAATAAAAATCAAAATGATTGTGCAGGAAAAAATATTTGTAATACATGATAAAGGGTCAATATCTCTAATGTACAAAAAGCCACAAACTGATAATAAGAATCAACTCAATAGAAAAATGAGTAAAGGCTGTGAACAGGTAATTCATAGAAGGAAAAATCCAAATGTGACAATATTCTCAATGTCAAGGAAATTAAAGCAATAATGAGATGATACTTCTACCCATCATTAACAAAAACTACAAAAAGAGGGGTAATGTTAAAGGCTGGGGAGGATGCAGGGAAATGACACCCATATATCACTGGAGAAAGTGTGAACTGCTACAATCCATCTTAGAAAATAATCTATCTATCAAAAGACAAATCTTTTGACAAGTCTAGTCATGTACCTTGGGGGAATCTATCCTATAGGGGAAAAATAACGCATGTAGGATATGTGTACTCAGATGTTCAAGGCAGCATTATTTAAGGTGATGAAAAATTGGAAACAACAGAATCCAGGAGTGGTTTAATAATTATGGTACATCCACACTTGGAATATTACATAGTTCTTGAGAAGCAGACCTGGAGGGGATCCCCATGAAGTATTTCTTAAAAAGGCAAGTTTCAGAGTAATACACCATATTCCCACCTCACCCCACACACTGAGAATGTGTGGAGAAGACAGTCTCTTTAGCAAGTGATGTCGAGAAAACTGGTCAGCAGCAATGTAAATCAATGAAGTTATTAGAGCATGCCCTCACACTATACACAAAAATAAACTCTAAATGGCTTAAAGACTTCAATATAAGACAAGACACAATAAACCTCCTAGAAGAAAACATAAGCAAAACATTCTCTGACATAAATCTTAGCAATGTTCTCTTAGGAAAGTCTAACCAGGCAATAGAAATAAAAGCAAAAATAAACAAATGGGACCTAATTAAACTTACAAGCTTTTGCACAGCAAAAGAAACCATAAGTAAAACAAAACAACAACCTACAGACTGGGAGAAGGTATTTGCAAATGGTGCAACTGACAAAGGTTTAATTTCCAGAATATATAAACAGCTCATACAACTTAATAACAAAAAAACAAACAACCCAATCCAAAAACGAACAGAAGACCTAAACAAGCAATTCTCCAATTTGAAGACATACAAATGGCCAAAAGGCACATGAAAAAATGTTCAGTATCACTAATTATTAGAGAAATGCAAATCAAAACCTCAAAGAGGTTATCACCTCACCTCAGTCAGAATGGCCATCATTCTAAAGTTCACAAACAATAAATGCTGGAGAGGGTGTGGAGAAATGGGAACTCTCTTAAACTGCTGGCAGGAATGTAGTTTGGTACAACCATTATGGAAAATGGTATGGAGATTCCTTAAAAAACTAAAAA